GTCCTTTTTTTTTGCAAAATAAAACAAAAAATAAAAATGGGAATGTCTCAAAAATGTCTAGTGCAAATATCTGATTATAGTTTTTGTATTGTACATGTGTTTTTTCTTTTTTTATTTATGTATGTTCACCTAATGTAATTGCTCTTGCCCTATGTTTTTTTGATGACACTTTAAGGCATAATGTGACATAATGTACCCACATACTAATGTGGAGGTATATGTGTATTCATGTGGTGTGGGGTTATTATTTGGCTTGGGGCTACTGTTTTCAAACAAAACCCATTGCATGCCAACCAACCCTATTAGGTACTTTGTAAAATAAAACGGTGCTTTAAGCCCCCCTAAGGTACCTTTTCATTTTTGGGAAAAATAAAACAAATAAACATATAGATGTCGCAAAATGTCTAAGGCAAATGTTTGATTACAATTTCAGTATTGTACATGTGTTTGTTGGTGTTTTTTTAATGTATGTTCACCTAATTTAGTTGCTCTTGTCCTAGGATTTTTTTGATGCAACTTCAAGACATCATGTACCCAAATACTGATGTGGAGGTATATATGTATATATGTATATATGTGTGTATTCATTTGGTGTGGGGTTATAATTTGGTTTGGGGTTACTGCATTGCAAACCAAAACCATTGCATGACAACCAACCTATGTTTGGGGTTTCTATTTTGGAAACACACAGCATTCAATCAAACACAAACCATGGTTGGTACTACATGTTTATCTAAACACCAGGCAACAATAACCTTCGTTTTTTATTTGATTTTTTTAAATGAGAAAAACACTTACAAAGAATAGTAATCCATATTTGGGGTTACTTCTTTTAAATGATCCCAACAATAGATCCCTATGTTGTTTTTTTTCAACCAGTAGCATACATGAAACCTATTAAAAAAAACAAAATTGAAATGAAAAACTCATTTTTTTGAAACAAACAAACATGGTTTTCAAGAAAATAAACACTATTTTTTTAAGAAAAAACAAATTTTCTCTATATTTTTTGTTTACTGCCCTGAAAGTTTGTTGAAAGTTTGTTGCAAACTTTCAGTCAAACTTTCAGGGGGGGTTGCAAGTTTGACTGAAACTTTCAATGCAAACTTGCAGGGCTGGATTGAAAGTTTCAATGCAAACTTTCAAGGCTGGATTGAAAGTTTAAAGAAACTTGCAGGGCTACATTGAAACTTTCATGCAAACTTTCAGTGTAGCCCTGCAAGTTTCTTTAAACTTTCAATCCAGCCTTGAAAGTTTGCATTGAAACTTTCAATCCAGCCCTGCAAGTTTGCATTGAAAGTTTCAGTCAAACTTGCAACCCCCCCTGAAAGTTTGACTGAAAGTTTGCAACAAACTTTCAACAAACTTTCAGGGCAGTAAACAAAAAATATAGAGAAAACTTGTTTTTTCTTAAAAAAATAGTGTTTATTTTCTTGAAAACCATGTTTGTTTGTTTCAAAAAAATGAGTTTTTCATTTCAATTTTGTTTTTTTTTAAATAGGTTTCATGTATGTTACTGGTTGAAAAAAAAAAACAACATAGGGATCTATTGCTGGGATCATTTTAAAAGAAGTAACCCCAAATATGGATTACTATTCTTTGTAAGTGTTTTTCTCATTAAAAAAACAAACAGTGGTTGTTTATTGTGCAAATTGTTTTGACATGTTACACCCACCATGTCTAAATGTGTTTTAAAAAGTAACCCAAAACATGGTTTGGTTGTCATGCATTGGTTTTGGTTTGCAATGCAGTAACCCCAAACCAAATTATAACCCCACACCAAATGAATACACATATATATATATATATCCACAGTAGTATTTGGGTACATTATGTATTGAAGTTGCATCAAAAAATCCTAGGACAAGAGCAACTACATTAGGTGAACATACATAAATAATACATCAACAAACACATGTACAATACTGAAACTGTAATCAAACATTTGCCTTAGGCATTTTGAGACATCTATATGTCTATTTGTTTTGTGATTTCCCAAAAAAATGAAAAGGTACCTTAAGGGGGCTTAAAGCACCTTTTTATTTTACAAAGTACCTAATAGGGTTGGTTGGCATGCAATGGGTTTTGTTTGAAAACAGTAGCCCCAAGCCAAATAATAACCCCACACCAAATAAATACACATATACCTCCACATTAGTATGTGGGTACATTATGTCACAGTATGCCTTAAAGTGTCATCAAAAAAACATAGGGCAAGAGCAATTACATTAGGTGAACATACATAAATAAGAAAAGAAAAAACACATGTACAATACAAAAACTATAATCAAATATTTTCATTACACATTTTTGGGGCATTCCCATTTTTATTTTTTTTGTTTTATTTTGCTAAAAATAAAAAAGGTACCTTAAGGGGGTTTAAAGCACCTTTCATTTTACAAAGTACCTAATAGGGTTGGTTGGCATGCAATGGGTTTGGTTTGCAAAACTGTAACCCCAAGCCAACCAATAACACCACACCAAATGAATACACATATATCTCTACATTAGTATTTGGGTACGTTATGCCTTAAAGTTTCAAAAAAACCTAGGACAAGAGCAATTACATTAGGTGAACATACATAAATAAAACAAAAAGCCACATGTACAATACTGAAACTGTAATATGTTTTTTGCCACATATACCACCACTGATTATTGATTGAATACATATATATATATATACATACTGTATATATATATACTATTTATTTGTTCATTTATTGTTTTTTGTTATTCATTCTTTATATATATATGTTTTATTTTTCTAATTATATATTTGTTTATCTTGTTAATGTTTTTGAACACGAACCACTTCTTAAAGTCGCAGCATATCTTTAAGTATTGTTTTCCATTATTGCATGCATAGGACAAATATTCATTTCACCAAAACATATTACCATCCAAAAATAAGAAAATCTCATGCAGCACCTTTTGTGAATGATAAATAGCACAATGGTTGGTTGATACATGCACGAGGTCTTTGGTATGTGGGCTACTTTTTGGTGAAAGGTTGGAAAATATGTCAAGTGCACAAGTGCATTTACCATCCATGTAGCACACTGGTGCTCAAGATTGAAGTTACTTGTCACTTGTCGCCCCTGTTGGTAACCTGATGCTATGCTTGCTTTTTGCCTCCACCTGAACCAGCACCAGAATCTGTAGAACAGGCTTCTCCAGAAGAAGCTGCCCCATGAGCTGACTTAGATTCTTAGATACTGCAGCACCCAAGGCAAAGGCCAAAGCCAAGGTGAAAGCAAAATCTAAAGTCAAGGCAAAGGCAGCAGGTAAAGCCAAGGCTGCTGCCAGCAAAGCTCCTGGGGTTACTTCTTCGCCAATGAAAGCTCAAAAGGCAAAAGCCAAGAGCACAATGAAGAAAATCCTGAAAAGACCTGATGCAGCTGAAGGCGAAAGCCAAGGCCAAAGCGAAGACTGCCAAGGAGATGGCAGCAGGATGGAAGAAGACCAGGGATGAGCCAGTTCCTGATGACCATGCAGAAGGAGAAGATGAGGAGCCTAAAGAGGAGGATGCAACAGTTGCTGATGATGAGCATCGAAGCTACCCCAAGGTAAGGAAATGTGCCAGAATGATCAAAAGTGGTCAGGTGCCAGAAGATCTTCAGCAGCTCTATGAAGAGGGCTCCAAGAATTCTCCTCCCCCAAGGTTATTTAAGAGTCAATTCATCAACAAAGTCTTTCAGCAGAACACCAGTGGCGAGTTTGCTTTTGCTCCTGGAAATACCCAGTGCGAGGTTTTCAAGAAGAACTTTGAGATTTGCACCAACAAATCTCAGGTTACTGGGTTGCCTCACTCCATCATGTCGTGGAAAAAATCCAGTGAAACCAGCAAGCTTTGAATGAGCAGAAAGACGAGGTGATGTCTATCAGAAAGATGGTTACTATCATGTCAGGACAATAGCCACAGCCATTGAGAAGAAGCAGGGCAGTTCCATGGTCTTGCATGGTGGCCAAGCCAACATCACCAAGGATGAGTTATTCGCAGATGAGTCAATTCATGTCGAGCAGGCCCTGGAGCCAGCTTGGCACTGGAGCTAGTTGTGGTGGTAGTGGTAGTGTTGTGGTAGTGGTAGCAGTGCTTCCTCTACACCAGCTGTGGTTACTTCATCCTCAGCATTGCCAAAAGCGATTTGTGATGCTCCTGTGAAACTGAGCAGGGCAAGTGCTCCCAGGAGCGACTGGGCAGAGATTGTCAAAGACCGGCTGTCAAAATCTTTTTTTTGACAAGAAAGACCAAAAACTCAATTATACTTTGATGGATGTCCTCACCGAGCTTTCAAAGACAGAATGTATGCTTGGGGTTACTTCATTGTAGCTTTGATGTTGTATAACATATCTTCAAAACATCCAATCAGATTTGATCTTCACAAATAAAAACTTTGATTTGCTCAAACAAGTATAAGTTCAAACAATACAGTTTTTTGCACTTCCAGTAATCATGTAGGACTGACTTCACACAAAATCAAGAAACATATTGTTAAAATACCTTTCAAGCAATTGATAATGTTCACTTTACTATGGTACAATGTTAAGAAAATGTCGAAATTCATTATCTTTTTTTCCATGCAAAAAATGCAAAATTTCAAGGTAAATTTTGAAGGTATTTTTTTAAACCCCAAAAATTACCTTGAAATGGACCCTTAAAAATTAACTATGTAGTTAAAAAAAATTAACTATTTTTGTTTCCTTAAAAATAAACTATTAGTTAGAAAATTGCCTCCAAAATCACTTTTACCTATTTTGCTTCAAATAACCTTGCCTGACCTATAGGGAAGATTTACCCCCAGATTTGATGATTTGGAGATTTATACATATGTATATATATATATATATTTATGAATGTTCATCAACATGTCTAGCATTAATAGATTACTTTGGGGTATACTCCAAGTTTTGGGTAAAGCTGCTCATTTCAGCATGACATTCCCAATCGACCAAACGCTGATTTCTGGGTCGCTGGTCTTGGCAGCTTTGGAGCTAAGGCCCATGGTTTCGGGCCAGTTTGTGTCCTGGTCAGGGGCTCAACCGATGGGTCCCGCCGATAGGCTTGGGAAGTTTACAGATTCCTTGTTTGCCATGGGAAAGCTAACTAATCAGCTGAAAGTTTTTGTGTTTTCCGAGTTGTGGTTGGTGGTTGGTGGTTGCAGTCAGTTCTATGATGTTCCATTTCAGCTGTGGATTAGATCCAAGTATTCGTATATTCAAAAATTCAAAAATGATGAAAGATACATTTTTCGTAGTATCTATCCTATGTTATCAATCGTCTGCTTGGGATTGTGACTTGGGCGCTTCTTTTTCATCAGCAGGAAGCATTGAGTCATCCAGCAGATGGCGTCCAGGTGATGTGCAACGTCTTCGCGGCGCTTTTCGCAGAAAGGGCCTTCAAGAAGAGCCCTGACAGATTGCCCTTTGTGGTCATCATGACCAACATGAGGAGACCGGTAGGGTGACCTTTGATATCCACCATCAATGGTCATGGTATTGTCTATCCACATTTGGAGGAGGTGGTTTGTTTTGAGAATTAAGGTTGGTAAATAGACGTTGCATGGATGATTTGGCGCTCTGGCGGAATGTGCGGAGAACTCCAAAGGTTGAATGAAGAGCCGTCATATTCAATCGTCGCCATTCTAGTGTCTGGTAGACAAAAGGCCGAAAATCACTTGTCGTAATTGAGTCCTCCAGGATTGGAGAAATCCTCTTTGCCTTAGGGTTTCTCTTCTGTGAGCATGGCAGCCATGGTTTCGAGAATTTCTTCATCAACTGGGTCTTGCTGGCCTGCCATTGGCCGCAGTGCAGCTGTTCGGGTAGATAAATTTAGTGAATGTTTTGTGGAAAGATGAGTTTCGCAGGGAGTGAAGGTTTTCTTCCTACTTGTTTGGTACTGGTATAGGTTGGTACAAGTGGGGTACAACACACACTGGACCTTGAGACGGTGAAAGGACGTACCTAGGTGACTATAGGAGGTTTAGACCACGAGTCAGTTGAGTATTCAACCAAACAAAGTATGGGTAGGTCGCAAGAGGGGCATCAAAGGGACTGCAAGTAGTGTGCGATATGATACTGGGGGTACGGGCCATGGAAGGTATGCGAAGATCCGCAAAGATTCAGATACAGGAAATCACAAGGTTTTGTCATGTCTAGTAATTGAGTAACCAGTAACCATCCGTGTTGTTTTGGTACCTCCATTCTGACCCACTGTTTGTTTGAAGATTTGTTCATGGATTCACAGGTTGCTGAATCTACAGCGTAGTGATCGCAACTGGGATGGGTTTCATGTCTCCATTACGTGGCTGACCATTGACTGATATGATGACTCATGGTGTTGATTGATAAACCCTCTAGATTATCATGGTCATGGTATGGTATGTAATTCTATATTCAATGCTTAAAAAAATTGAACGGATTGATGATCCTGAGACTTGCAGATTTGGGTCATGAAACAAGGTATTCGTCAGCTCTCCAAATCTTGGTGAGCCAAGTTGGGTTTAATGAAAATTGTTACCCGTCGTTGTACTTGGGTGCGGTTTCCAATTTAGACTTGTTTTCCGCCATTTGCTGGGCACCGTGAATCAACCACCAACCCAACTCATCCAAAGCCAATCATGGAAACCACATGGGTGTGTCTGAAAATGGTGTAAACGCCTAGTTGGATCCAATTGGCTATTTTTTGGGGGAACATGATGATACACCACTGGATTTTAGATGCCTTGTTTTCAGACACATGCCTGGTCCTTCCACAGAAGTGGTGTGCTATGCCAGGATAGTTCCACGATGTGGGTCTTTGGCACTCATATCTTGGACCTTTGGATGACTGCCTTTATGGCACCTGGGCTGGGGCCAGAATGGCGGTTGATATGTGGTGAATTAGCACAAGCTTAACATCTGGGGAGGTTTTACAAAAAACAAAAGCTATGGAGTGCTTGTCCAGGAACAGGAAAACACACATCCTTGATCTTCATGATCTTGGTGATGATGATGTTGGTGATGATGATGATGATGATGATGATGATGATGATGATGATGTTGACAACGGTGATGATGATGAGTGAGGTTGGACTGGACTTCCACGGTTCTGCTTTAAGCCAAGCAGGTCGACTAATCCACAATACCTTTAGGATAGAACTGAACCGCGGACGGGCTCAAAGATCTTGAGCTGATGACGATAGCGGATGTGACAAGTTACGGCGTTATGGGGCTAGAGCTATGGCTGTGCTCTGTATTTGAAGCGGTAAGCAGTTTTGATTGCTGAACACTTCAATCTACGTAATCTGAAGATATATTAAGTGTTTGTGCAATCTTTGGTTCCTGCACAGTATTTTGGCAGGTGCTCTTTTCCTGCAGCGATAGTGCTGGGAAATGGGAGAATGATGCCAGTATATAACTGCATTAAATTGCCCTCAATGCACCCTCATCCCGGGGCTGGTCTCAAGTAGACTTAATTGTTTGTGGGGGCAACCACCAAGACAGTCTAGCTCGCATTGCGCCAAAGAGTTGCTTCTCAAAGTAAACTGATCGAGCTTCAATTTATAAAACATGCCATTCACGTGTACGTATTTCCCTCGTAACCCGGTGTACTTAGGCACTTTGGTCCATATTGGTGAAACTTCGCAAGCCCGAAAACTACCTACAGCATGTTGCAGCAATGCTGGCTGTGAGGTAAAGGAGTTGTCTTCGGTGTCCAAGTACGTTTCCAAGTGTTTGACGATGGTCGTAGGGAAGCCAAGCTTCACAGCCGAGGCAAATCCCAGAGCATTCAGAAGGATGGTCGATTTGGCTTTAACAATATGGGGGATACCCTAAAAGATTGCTATCAAGTAATAATAGGGGAAACTAATAGATATTTGGATTACATTAAATTGCTATATAGATGTATGGGGTACCTAATTTTGAGACAAACCCGGGGAGCGTGATTTGTACTTCCAAACGAGTAAGAAATGAGGCAACGATACCCATTCGGCAGTGCCCAGATCATCCACGGGGATGGTAGATTGAGCCACGAATGAATGATCACCAAAACATCATGTAAATTCCCTATCTGCATTGTATGGGTATTCGGACAATCGCCAGCTTGCAACAAGCGAATGCATGCAAGGTGACGAAGTCCCCAACTGGGGTTATGTGTCATGGTTATTGATGGTTTGAAACGATAGCATTGTTACTTACCAGCCACTAAGTTGCATGATACACTACAGTACCAGCAGTTTTTTTCGTTGATAGGTGTCATTCAAAGCCAATAACACACTGGAAGCCATTAGCAACATCTAGGCCCAAAACAACATATTTATATATTATATATATACAGACATATATGTGGTCTCGTGTTCCGTGTTCCTACCCCCCTCCAATGGTATGGGTCCCCAGGTAGCACACCCTTCCCTTCTATTTGCAAGCTGTTGGCAGCATTTCTGAGGTCCAGCCTCGTATTTGCTAGGTCTTTGCAGCCTTTCTGACTACCAGCCTCGCATTTACTAGGTACATGCTACCTTTTAGACGACCTACGTAGCACACATATTCCCTCAAAGTACCTACGTGCTACCTATAGTCATATATACAGGTGCTATGTGCCTACTTCCCATTCACTACCTGTGTACTCTCACAACACTACATGTGTTTGACATATATCGTACCTACCATACATTCCAATGATACCACCCAGAGCCTCCAAAAGTCCTTAATTAAGGAGATACCTTAATTAAGGTCTCCAGGATTTTCTTAATTAAGGACTTTTGGAGGAACTTCTGGAGACCTTAATTAAGTGATCTGGCTTTGGTGCTGTTATAGTGGTATAATGGCTAAGTTTGTGTCAAAATTGTCATATGTTTTTTTCTTTGCTGTCCTTTGGATTTGTTTCTTTTTGCAAAAAAGTAGGCAATATAAGAACTTCCTAGATTGCTTAATTAAGAAGATGGCTTAATTAAGCAATCCTATTTAAGCTATCTAGGAGGAACAATTTTGGATTGCTTAATTAAGCAATCTAGGTTTTAGTGTTATTTTTCTAGTTTAAAATTCAATGTTAAAATATGACTTTTTGAATTTTGATTAGCTACCTCTTTTCAAGAATTTCTAGTTGGAAACTGTTCCAATTTTGCCTCCTTTTCAATTTGAAGAAAAATCAACTTGCAACCAAAGGTATTTGGAAAGAAAAAGGAAAATGGAATGTACAAAAACGATTGTGTGCAACATACCCTGTTCCAAACATTGTCAATGCTCCTGAGACTGTTACCTTTTTTTTGTCATTTTTTTTTTGTAGAAGCATTCATGTTGTAAGCCATGCCCACCCCCAAAATATGATATAAAAAAAATCTCAAGTACCTTAAACAAACATTTAGGCCTAGGCCCCCTTCAGATGACATATTCCTTACTAGTGAATAGTGAATACTTATATACTAGTTTCTAGTTACTTGCTAGTATAGTTGTGATTGCTGGTTAGTAGGTGATATTCAGTAGGCAGTAGTTGGTAATTAATAATTACAATGGCCCAAGTGCAGAAACAAAACGTATTGTACCTGCACTCCACAGAGGAGTGTTGTTGATAACAAAGTAAATTGGAGACTGAAAGTATCTTATCCAAGTATTCAAATTCGATCATCACCATGAAAAACACATGGGTGCCAAAGCTGAAACTAAAACCTGTTCTTTTCAAATTGTGTCGGAATATTCAACTTTGAGCCCCACCAAAAATTATCAATTTGGGCCCCACCAAGAACTACAATTTTTAGTGGGACACAAAGCTGAAGATAAATTAGTTTCCTTTCAAACCTTGACACAAAGTATTCCAGCTTGAACCCCTGCAAAAATCTTAATTTTCAGTGGGGCCCAAAGTTGAAGATAAACTATGTCCTGTTCAAATTTGGTGAAAGTATCCAAACTTCACCCCCATATTTGATTTTCCAGGGTGGGGCCCAAAGTTGAAGATAATATATGTTTCTTTCAAATTTTGTCGAAGTAGTCAAGTTTCAGCCCCACTAATTTTTAGTTGGGCCAAAAAATGAAGATCAAACATGTTCTCTTTAAATCTTGTCGACAAGATTCAACTTTCAGTTCCACTAAAAAAATGTAATATTTTGGTGACCCAAAGTTGAAGAATAAACATGTTTCCAAATTTTGCTGAAAAGGAATCAAAATTGAGCCCCACCGAGTTTTTTTAGGCTTAGGGCGAAAATTGAAACTACATTACTTTCCAGGAACATTTCTTCGTTTTGGTTCATTTTTGAGAGGTGCTCTTGTTTCCTTTCCTGAGGTGATGAAAGGGGTCAGAAGAGGGCACCTTGAAAAAATGTTCCAAATACATCAAGAAGGCATTGCGAGGCATGAGCTCTAAAGGTGGTAAATGTGTTGAGGTGTTGTTTGCATTGTAGCCTTTGTTTTTGTTTCTTTGTTTTGTCACAGGTTTTTGCAGGTGCCCCTTTTTCCTCTGCTTTGGTGATCAAAGGGGGTCAGAAAAGGGCACCTTGAGCAAATGCTCCAAATACATGAAGAAGGCATTGCAAGGCATGAGCTCTAAAGGTGGTAAATGTTGAAGTGATGTTTGCATTGTAGCCTTTTTTTTTGGTTTCTTTATTTTGTTGCAGGTTTTTGCAGGTGCCCGTTTTTCTTTGCTTTGGTGATCAAAGGGGGTCAGAAAAGGGAGCCTTGAAAAAATGTTCCAAATACATCAAGAAGGCATTGTGAGGCATGAGCTCTAAAGGTGGTAAATGTGTTGAGGTGTTGTTTGCATTGTAGCCTTTGTTTTTGTTTCTTTGTTTTGTTGCAGGTTTTTGCAGGCGCCCCTTTTTCCTTTGCTTAGGTGATCAAAGGGGGTCAGAAAAGGGCACCTTGAAAAAAATATCCAAATACATGAAGAAGCATTGCAAGGCATTGCACTAAGAGGATTGCCATAGCTGCAAATTGTACTTGAACAAAGGGAAACTACATTAGCTTGAAATTACCACCCAGCAAGATTGGGCCTTGGAACATCTCGAGCCAAGGTCATAAACCATGAGATTATTATGTGGTAGAATTACTAGGTGTTAAAAAATGTTAAAATTTTAACATGTTTTAACATTTTTTAAACAATGGTTTTAAATTGATTTATATATATAAACCATTGTTAAAAAAATGTTAAAACATGTTAAAATTTTAACATTTTTTAACACCTAGTAATTCTACCACATAATAATCTCATGGTTTATGACCTTGGCTCGAGATGTTCCAAGGCCCAATCTTGCTGGGTGGTAATTTCAAGCTAATGTAGTTTCCCTTTGTTCAAGTACAATTTGCAGCTATGGCAATCCTCTTAGTGCAATGCCTTGCAATGACCCCCCTTTGATCACCTAAGCAAAGGGAAAACGGGGCACCTGCAAAAACCTTCAGCTACGTGCCCAACTGAAAATTACAATTCTTAGTGATGCTCGAATTTGAATATTTCGACAGGATGTGAAAAGCGCATATGTATTCTCCTCAACTTTGGCCCCACCCTGAAAAAAACTTGGTGGGGTTCAAGTTTGAATACTGTCACAGTTTACCTTCAACTTTGGGCCTCACTGAAAACTATGATTTTTTCTGGGGTTCAAACTTGAATACTTTGTGACAAGATTTGAAAGGAACATATTTTATCTTCAGCTTTGGGCCCCACCAAAAATATTAATTTCTAGTGGGGTTCAACCTAGAATATGTTTGACAAAATTTTAAAGGAACATATTTTATATTCAACCTTGGGCGCCACTAAGAATTATAATTGTTAGTGGGGCCCAAACTTGAATATATCCTTTTCAACAAGTTTTGAAGAGAACATGTTTTATCTTCGATTCTGGGCCCAACTAAAAAATACAGTTGTTAGTGGCGCTCAAAGTTTCGAATACTTCGACAAATTTTATAAAGATCATATTATCTTCAACTTTGAGCCCAACCCTGAAAAAAATGATTGGGCTCAAATTTGAATACTTTCACCTGGTTTGAAAAGAACATATGTTATCTTTATCTTTGGGCTCCACTAAACATTATAATTTTAAATAGGGCTCAAACTTGAATACTTTGAAACAAGATTTGAAAAGAACATGTTCTATCTTCAACCTTGGGCCGCAGTGAAAAATATATTTGTTAGTGTTAGTGGGGCTCAGCCTTGGCTATATGTTTTGGCAAGGTTTGAAAAACAGATTCAATTTTCAACCTTGGGCAGCAGTAAAAATTGTAATTGTTAGTGGGTTCAGCCTTGACTATTTTTTTTAAACAAGGTTTGAAAAGAACAGATTTTAGTTTTTAGTTTCAGCTTTGGGCCCTGCTCTTAAAAGACTTGGTGGGGCTCAAATTTTAATACATACTTGGACAAAATAATTGCGTTTTCCAATGTATTGTTTTTATTTAATAACAGCACTCCTCAGAGGAGTGCAGGTAGCATAGGATTGCTTCCGCACTTTGGCCATTATAATTACTTACTGCTAGTTGCTACATACTGAGTATTACCTCACCACTATACAGGCTAGCAACTAGAAACCATAAAACGATCACTATTCGCCACTAACTACTGACAATAAACTACTGACTCTACCCACTACTCACTACCCACTAGTCACTACCCACTACCCTACTAACTTACCATTACTCACTACTGGCTACTCACTACTCGTTGCTCACTTACCCACTTTTGACTTCTAACTGGCCACTAACTGCTATCTACTGGCTACTCACTACTCACTTCTACTATCTACTCATGAGCACTCCTCGAAGGAGTGATGTCTATAATGGTTGCTTGTGACCAGACATACTCATCAGAGAAGTGGTCTCTACAATGGTTCCTTTTGCCCCAAAAAAAATGGTACCCACCTTATATTAAGGGTCGCCAGGCCATCTCTACCAAACAACATTTTGCCCCCCACTACTCTTCAATTAAGTGCAATCTTCTAGGTTTACTTTACTACATTCCTCATTGTTTCCCCTTTGGCATTATTAATTATACAAACCCTGCCTAGGCAAACCTTTTTATTAAAAAGTATAATGCCACAAAATCACATTCTTAATTTGCAGAACTGCTGCTGGCTGCATGAACGAAAAGAAACAAGCCAGAAGCACCTGGTTGCCACCCATGGCATATAATTGGTTCGAGCCACTGCCTTCAAAATTTGTAAAATTAAGCAAAATCTAGATTGCTTAATTAAGCACTCTATAGATTGCTTAATTAAGCAACCTAGAGAAACTTCAGATTCCTGAATGTGCTAAATGAAGATTGCTTAATTAAGCAAGCCTGCAGAACTACAAAACAAAACAAGCCAGAAGCACCTGTGTTGCATGGCACAGAAAACTTGGTTTGAGCCAATGATCTCCTCAAAGGAGATCAAGATACAGCAAACATGATTTCATCAATGTCTCATCAAAAAAAAATCAATGAAAAAGCAAAAGATCCAGAGACCTTAATTAAGTGATCTGGCCAAAATTCCAGATCACTTAATTAAGGTCTCCAAAACCATGATTTTTGGCAAACCTCCAGATCACTTAATTAAGCTAGCTACCTTAATTAAGGACTTTTGGAGGCTCTGGGCAATTATACCATACATACCATACGAACTTTTATACCATACATACCTTACCTACCATACCTATCATACATACCACACATGCCATACATATGAAACATAATGACCACATATTACCACACCTACCATACATACCATACCAAGCATACATGCCATACATACCACACCTACCTTACATAGCAAAGATTCCATACCCATAATAGTAACCATACATACCATACAGACCATACATACTGTCATATCAAACATACCATACCCAGCAGACTTACATACCTTACCTACCACCCATACAGTACCACACCCCAACCGCAGCACGGGGGGGAGGGGGGCAGTCCACCACACCACAGGGGGGGGAGGTGGACAGTACTATGGCTGACCCATGAAAATGGCCGGGGGGGAGGGGGGTTGGAACGCTGGATATATTTATATACACACATACATATATTTTTCTGTGTATATATATATATACTGTATGGATGAAAAACGGGTATATGTAAATATATGTTTATATGTAGATGTATTTATATATATATAAATATGTGTAAATCTATTATGTATATATTTTACACATATTTTCATTGTTTTTACATATAACCTGCTATATATGTTTGAATATTTGCTTATATATATATATGTGTGTGTATATCTAAATATATATATATATATATTTGTATAAATATAAATGTGTATGTATATTTATGTATATATATATGTCAAAATCTGTTTGTGCGTAAATATTTATGTGTATATATATAGATATGTGTGTGTTTATTTATCTTTGTATATATATATACATATATTTATTAAGTTTTTTCTGTATTTACATGTAAATAATATATATATATATATGTATATATATGTGTATTTATTTTTTATATATATGTATATTGGGAAGATTGGGGTGCTGGATTCCGTATTTTGCAAAACTAAGTGTTTTGGGCATTCCGTATTTGGCAGAAAACTGAGTAGGACTCTTTTAGTTCATTGGAAACTATTTAATATAGATTTGGAATTTGTTTCAATAATTTATTTGTGAATACTAAATCAGGTGGTACTCCGAAGTAGAAACAAAAATTGAATAACTCCAACTCCATGCACGAAATTAATTAATGTTTTAATCATGTTCAATCAGAAAACCCATTGGTTAATGGTATTAGTTGTATATATATATATATTTATTTATATAAGTTGTATACTTATATATCACATCCCTTAAGTTATCATAAATTCAGAAAAACATGTCGTCAAACACTCACATTCAGCGCCATTTCTTCACAGGTGTTGTTTGCAATCGCCCTTCAGCGGGGTCATCTCGCTGGCCGGCACAGACCGACCATCGCGGAGGTGCGCTGGGTATGGGGGTGTCTTAAAACAATAGGAATACAAATCATCCACATCGTATTAAACCTTCATGGTTTTGGGAAACCATGGAATGCATCGGAAGCTTCTGTATGGTAGATTGGGGAATGTTCTGCTATATTATTGTGGGATTTTTGGTTCGGATTAATGTGGTAAACATGCTGGTTTATTAGGGATTGTTATGGTATACCCTTTGGTAATCAAACGTGGCCTGGGAAATCCTCAACTAAGTGACTATGTGTAGGTTTATAGCTGTGAACATCATCGAACTTATTTGGGATGTTCCAGCAAACCACGTTTGATTACTGGAAGGTATTCAAATAATGAGACCAAGAAACACCATTGTAATTGGATGAGATAGAGGTATTGTTCATCGCTCAATTGACCAAACCACCGAAGAAATGAGTGGCACTAAATCAAATTTATTGTTGACTTGTGGTTTGTCGGCTGAAATTTTGGGTTACAACATGGTTTTCAAATTTGACCTAAATGAATAACATGGAACTCCTACGGGGTCATGTCCTTTACTCAGCATTTTCTTGTCAGTGGCTCTTGTGATCAGTATGACCAAATTGCCCCGGAAAGTTGTATACGTTGCGCTGCTGAACCGCCGGTATGTATACATGATACATGCATGGTATATCATTACAAATTACAGTTAGTTAGATTTATACAGATTCCAGATGCGTGGGTATATGAGAGCTTGTCGAAGCTGGTTTCACTGGATTGGGTATCCAATCCATTGGTTCTCTGACAAACTCCCGATATATTCAAGGCTCAGATGAAGCGCTTGGACTTTTGATCTACTTGTTCCACCAGGGATTCCAATCTCAACCAGATCGGTGAGCCGACATTCTGCTCCAGACGATGGTGGCGTTGATCGTCATCTTGACCACCTTGCAATTCGCAACCCTCAGAGCTGAAAGGCGTGGTGCCGGCCGGGGCCGATGATGTTGTTCTGGATTTATCCTCCTATAAAGTAGCAGTTTGCTATGGAAAGTTGCCCATTTACAGATGATTTTCCTACTAGCAACAGGGATTTTCCACATATATATGTACATAATAATAATTAATAATATATATATATATAAATATCGATTATGTTAAATTGCCAGAGGGTAATGAAGATGAACAAATCCGGGGTTGCTGGAAAAATCCGTTAGCGTGGAAGACAATCATCTATGGATGCGGGATAGTCCTTATGGCCAGGTTGAAAAGCAAATAGATGATCTTCAAGATTGTGATAGTTCCAATTACATCGATCATTTGCAGTCTAACAGAACATAGCACAGATGTTTTGAACTGATGGTTGGCATAAATGTCCCCATGAGTGCGTGCATGTTTCGGAGATCTCAAGTCTTCGGGGGAATTCGAAATGAATAGAAACTCAAGATTTAGATGCTAGGTTTGGGGTAGATGTATCCACATGATATATGATGATATCCCATCAGCCTCCGCTAATCACATGGATTTGTCTCAAAATAGAATACCCTCAGATCCCAGGACCGATCTTCATTTTCCCACAATTTCCCAGTTACAATGACCTTGGCACACCCCATTTTCAGACACACCCCATATAGTCTTGTAGTACTGTATTTATTCCCCGTGCCTTTGGTGATGGAAAGCAACTTGTCCATACTTTTTTTTGTTGATGTAAGACGGTTGGTTGAACCAGAAGTTGACTCGGTGGTGGCTGGAAGTGCATGGCTGGACATGGCTGGAATCCCCAGCATGGATAGGGGTGGAGAGCGTTCTCCACAACCGGTGTGACTTCAAATGGGGGTTGCCTCAACATTGCTTGAGTGTGTAAGATTGCTACTTGACTGGATATGGTGGTGACAACATAACCGTGATTTACTGATTAACAATTATTTTTTCGGGGGGGAAGGTACCCACGTTTTGCAGACAAACCCAGATATAGGGAAATGTCGCTGCCATTCATGAGTACTAAGTCATGGGTGTCCAGCCTCGAGGACATTAAGTCATGTAAAGCATAGGGGAACCGTATCCAGTGGCCAAGAATTAGTGGCTTGATTAGTGGCTTATCGAGCGCATCAGCAAATGCGCCGCTAAGCCCCTTGACTCCCCTTTGGTCCACAGAGAAATGGTCGCTTTCAAAATAAGTACAGAGAAATATGCATATAGTTGGTATCAATAGTTGGTTGATATAGTTGTACCTTTCTGATGTATGAATATCCCGCTACAGTCGATTATATGGTATAGTTGGTTACTATATACCTTACTGTCATCCATTTTTAAGGTGTTTACTTTGGTTTACTTTGCCCCTCGGGGACCCCCTGATCAGGAGCCAACCACGGCGCCAAGCATGGCGCAAGGAGTAGCCAAAAGTGGGAGCTGACGGGTGGCAAACCTGCAGGAAACCCCCAGGGGTCATGCCAAAAACTACAGATATATTTTGAAAGGTGAAATGCATGCTACTTCCTCATCTTTGTTGCATGTGTCTTCATCAAATTTTGTGCTTTAGCCATTGATCTCAGATCCAGCAATGCATCAAGATGCATGAAGTGAAGCAAATTGTGTAACGTTTCCGAAAATTTCACAAACCCCTAACATCAACGTCATAAAACTGCTGGCAGTTCACGCTGTTTCCGTGATGCCAGCATGGCGCCATGTTTTGCCCAAAGTTGGCTTTCTGTGGCTTTTGATCTGTGCTCAGTCCGGAGAACCTGACATCAAGATCTATTCGGAGAACACTGATGGCTTTAACACCGGAGTACCTTTCAGCCAGTGGCTACATCATATTGTTATTCAAATACCAGAACCAGCTGGAGGACCGACTGGCTGGTTGCACCAAAACAAAATCGACAAAGCTGTGCTTTTCACAAAGATCCGGTAAGATCCAAAATTCATGATCCACGGTTTAGAAAATAACGCCTTGGAATCGCAGATGAATTCCAAGATTGGTCAAAGACATGATGTGTTTTTGTTCGCCCATCGGCAGGGCCGTTCGAAAATCCCTTGCAGCTCAGTGGAGGGAATTGCAGCGAGATACACGTGAAGAGTCTTTTCCTCAGAGTTGCAGTGCGGCTGGTATTAATCGCATCCACATGGGATGGCAGTGGTGTATATATTGTATAGTCATCAGCAATATCATAGATCAACTATATAGTGAGATATTAATGAGAATAGTTTGTCAAACTGCAGGGAATTTTGATCACAGTCTTTTTTGACCCAACAAAAATGGGAGGTTTACTCATAAAATGAGGCTGGTTCTGCTCCGGTGATCCTTTCCTATTCCCTACCTGGATCAACACTGACAAAAGTTCTGGGATGGATTGGAACATGTTGGAACTATGAGCCAGAATCTGTTTAGACAATTGAAATCAATTGAACCAAATCCCCGGCAGTCTTGATTTGGCTTTGAGATGGTAATTCCACAGCATGAAATCAGACTGCTTTGCGCAGGATGCTGGAGGAAATCTGAACTCCTCATTCATGCGCATCATCATCATCATCATCATCACCATCATCACCACCACCACCACCATCATCATCAATCATCACCAAAAATCAATCTCAATCATCAATCATCAATCACCAATCATCAATCATGATTCAATCATCATCATCATCATCATCATCCTCATCATCCTCATCCGAATCATCCTCATCCTCATCCTTGTCCTCATCACCACTATTTCCGCTGGTTAAACAACAAACAGATCCCCATCAAGCATGAGTTTTGTTCAAAGTGTTCCATGAAAATCGTCCCCAAACCAGGTTTTTCTCTCCTGGTTTCACTGCAAAATCTCGCCCAAAAAAAGGATTTCACACATGTTCACTTCAAACATGTTCAAACTCAAAAAGACCACACCCAAAAATTCCACACTATATAATCCCATCTCAACGTTTTCCCAGGCTTGAATGCTACAGACCTCACCAGCACTGAGCTCTCCCCGGCCTTCGCCCTGCACCTCCGCGCCTCCTTGCTCTGCACGGTGCTGGTCAGCAACGGCGCGGTGCGAATCGGCTTCGCCCTGGACAACGTCACGGCGGACCTGGCTTTTGCGGTGCAGCCGGTGCTGGAACCAAGGTCCCAGGTGGTGGTGCCCTTGGGGAAGGTGGAAGTGACCAGGTGGGGGTTGGGGGGGTGATTGGGATCAGAAAACACATGGTGAAGGATGGGGAGAACAGTGGAGCATATGGGGATTTATGATTGACCAATGATGGTTGATGATTATCAGGACTAGTAGCTTCCAAAATACGAGCTGATAGATTGCTGGAAGTGTCGGCCAGGTGTTACATCTCCTTTGTGATGAGTATGTTGCACTTACATGGCACGGATTCGGTCTTCAACAGTGCCTTGAGCCAGTTTGAGCCTGCCTTGAAGGATTTCATCAACGAGGACTTGAGAGGACTTAGGAACTGTTGTGTTGCTTTGGAATCAGGATGAATCAGGTAGTCAGGCAAAGCATGCTACATCATGCTGCTGTACCACTGTTTCATATAGAGGGCCTTGATACACCTGTGGTGCATGGTTCAAACCAAAGATGATTGAGTGGTTTCATGCTGCCAGGAATTGCCAGAGGTTGCTTGCTCCCAACTAGAGCCCTTAATGGAGAAGCAAGCTTCAGCCGCTTTATCCTCTGTGTTGGTTCAACTGGCACCCTTCCTGGCGAGCAATCCTCCTCTGCCCCCGGAACCCGCCGCGCGTCCGGGAGTCACCTTGGTGAATTGGGGCACCTTCCCTCCAGCGCAGTTGTTAAGATCATTGGTGCAACGTCGACCAGAAAGGGTTGCTGGCATTATACAGAGGATTCGTCCTCAGAAGATTCCTTTGGATATGCTGGGTATCTAGACAGACACTGGTGGTTGTTGTTTTCGTTTTTGATTCTGGCATGTCGTGTATATGTCATAGTCACTTTTAGTCTTCCCTTTGGAGGGAAGTATTGTTGTACTGTACAGATTTGGTGGTGTTTCCTTGTGACTACAACCTCAAGTGGTCACAACTCGGAACGCCTGTCATGCGAGAGACAGAGAGAGAGAGAGAGAGAGTGGACATGTCACCCTTGAATGTCACCCTTGAAGTCAGTTTGCTGCCCTCCAAAAGACGATTATAGACTACATTGTCAGATAATTTGTGCTTGGTGGTTTCATTAAAAGTTAAAAGTATCAAACCTCGTGCGTGAAATTTCCATTCATTCCCCCTGAGTGGCTTCTGACTCGCGCCTGCTGATTGGGCATCCCTCGACCCCCATTCTGCCCTCAAAAAGTCGTTCTGGTGGAAGAATAGTTCTTGAATTATCTTAGTATTAGTATTTAGTTTTGTCTTCTCAACGATTGTCATTAGCTCTGTTTTTAATAAATATCGAAGTGAAATCAAGACTCTGTTTGGCAAAATGGGTTCATGATCCTAACAAACTTTCAACATTTTTCTGAGGGATTGAAACCCATTGGTTACATCCCCAACTTTGCTGAATTTCGTCTTACTCCAGGCATCAATCGCTCCGTGACCATCGATTCTGCGGGAACCACGCTGCGAAGCTATACGGAGGCAGGGTGTTCAGTACTTATACGTCATGTTCAGCCTGTTTAATACGGGATTTACAATGATAAATGGGCTTTCGAGCTGGAAAAAGGTGGGATTACAGAAACTGAGAATTTCATTTCACTAGCAAACATGGTCATGGTATGTCATGGTTTTATTGCATTAAATAAGGCAGAACTAACTGGGGCTACCACACATGGAAATGGGGACACAAGCAGCAGAAATGACACTTAAAGTCTACTCTAGCCAGTAAACAATAGTCAGCAGCAGAATTGGGTTATGATCCACGTCTTCTGTAAGTGGATCGAAGGGCACTTGGCCATAATTGTTGTTTGTTTTGCTAAGCCATACGTTGCGGTCAGCATCAAAGGACTCCCATACTTAGGTCAAGGGAAATTTTATGCAGAAAATAAACCGCACTGTATCCTGTGGTCGATTAAACACATGTTTGTGTAGGTTTAACTCCTCTTTTTTGTTGCTCAATATTAATATCTACGATGATCCCCATTTGTCTGTTAATGATTTCTAGATTCCTATTCTTGGCTGCAGGAATTGACTGTGGAAGGCTTCAACAGCTTTGTTCCGGGGAGTTTGGCCATCCAAGGTAGTGGTTCTCATGTGGCTGGCCATGCCAGGGTATGGTGAACGGTTGTGGGTGGCTTCATGATGGCAACCAAGCAGGTCTGCTACTTTCCATCCCCAGATCCCTTTTTATCGATTTGAAGCATTCTTTCAATGTTCATCCATCGCCATTTCTCTCATAGCCACAGGTTCCTCATTGGTGAGGTGTAGGTTTTGCAACAATTGTATGTGCCTTCCATGATTGGCTGTCTTGCGCGGGTCAGATTCATAGGCATAGATGCCATCTACTATACCTGTGTACAACAGAGCTATGTGATGTATTCACAGGACCCATGGCATAGGACTCACCTTACCCTTTTTGGTACATGGGTCCTATGTTTTATTCATGTGTCAAACCTGTTCTTTGCGGATGGGCACGGAGCTTCATGCTTCTGCTTCGGATCTGCTCCAGTAGGTGGTTTCCAGTGTATTTCACAAGGAGGAAGGTCAGGAAGAGGAGACAAAGAATAAAAAGTGTGTTTTGGCCAACCTGGAATCCAAACATGTTTTTACTCTACATTTACGTTTCGACTCAATGATGATCCAAGTTTGCGGCCAACCACCATCAACGGCTATGAGCAAACATACAGAAGGACTTCAACTAGTCATTTTTCAACTCAAACCATCTTGGACCATCTTAAACATGACCAGAAGTACTACCAGTTTATTACCCCTAGCCATACAACGAAGCACCCCCGCCCTCAACATCCCAGGTTTGGTCCACTGCTTCCTTCAAGGAGTTGAGACTCGGTGCCAAGCTGCAGGCGCAGGTGCGGTCCGTCGACCCCAAGACGCTGACGCAGGAGACGCCCATCCCATGGGATAGGATTTGGCCAATTTTTTGGCCCATTTTGGAGCAAAAACAAACATGGTCGTTTAATTAATAGTTTCATAGTGGTGAAACAGCCAAATGATGGTGAAACATGGTGAAACATCATGTTGGTGGTGGCTAAACAGTGGTTGAGCCGGAGGGAACGTGAGGTCAACATGGGATAGAGAGGGTGTCCAATTTTTGAGTCACTGCGAGGAGAGACCTTTGCTGGAAGAATTTCAAGTGCAACTGCAACTGGGAGTCCTGGTTGAGAAGCTTAGGAGCGCGTCCAAATAGGCAGATCGAGAGCCTAATGTTATTTGAATGTGAAAAACCAGTTGAAAGGCTGGTTGGTAAGGGGAATGATTCCCTTCAAGGCCTCTGAGCTGAAGCAGGGAATTTTTGGGGTAGAATCAGGGCTGGCCAGCTACATCACCCGATAGGGATTGAAACAACTGTGGGATTCTCGTGGAGGGATGGCCATTACCTCTGAGTATAATGAGTATTGACATGTATTGACTATATACAAAAGAAGCAAGTGGTTCATCAGTTTTGATTAATGTACAATGTTTGTAAACCAGAACCAATACTAATATTTTGTTTGCATACCCTCAGCGATTGCTTTTTGAGACATCGACAGAAATGAGTACAAACTTGGAGCCAGGGACCAGTTCCACCATGTATGACTTCATTCCCGAAATCATATGACATTACTATACATTGCAAGATATTGTAACCGTACATACCCTACTTGGCTGGCAATGCAGAATCGCCTCTACGTGGAAGTTATTGGAGGTGTATCTTTATTGCAGGGAAATTCATCCAATGGTGGGATTTTCCAGCAAGGACATGTGATGGCACGGGCTGAAACCCTGGCGATGGTGTCGCAGCATACTTTAAACACCATGGAGGTGGATCAATTCCAGGACTTCGGCTGTTTCTTGGCTGTTTTTTCCACGTTGGCGATAACGGCGGGATAGAATGCGATAGATCTTCGAACGGTTTCACATGTTTAAAACGGTGACATGGGGGTGTCAGTATGTTAGTTTATGTTAATGAATTGATAGTTGTATCCGGGATCAAATAACAGCTACATAAAGGGGAGGACTTGGGCTACAGTACAGATTGCCAGCCAGGGGTCGTTTTGTACAAAAAAGTGGAGTTGAGCCAACCTTTTTGTATTTGCATTCATTTTGTAGTTGTTTCCTTTCAAATCCTCATTTGTATTTTGTAGTTGTATATGTTGAGTTAGTTGAAGCATCCAACACAAAATATCATTTTCATTTTGTAGTTGTACAAGTTGAATAGTTGAAGCATCCAACAAAAAAAACATTTGCATTTTGTAGTCAGTTGTAATTACACATGTTGAGGAAGTTGAAACATCCATAAAATCTGTACGACTTAGTTCGACGTCACGACGTCACCCCCAAAATGTTTACTGAAATTATGTTGGTCGGAACTTTGGATGGCATAGACCCAACTACAAAATATTATTGGGAAAATTCATGTTAGCATTTCCGATTCTAAACTATTTTTCAACTTCAGATGCATTGGTTTTTTGTAATGCATATTTTGAATTATTTTCCGAGTCAAATTAAGTTGTGTTCTGTATTTTGTAGCTGCGAAAAAGGTACCAAGCATCGAATTTTGTAGTTGCGCACCCTATGCTTTGTGTCTTGTACCTATCAAAATCCTCTGCACAACTCCTCCTCCCTTATCTGAACCCTGATATAATTGTGCATTGTTCCAGTTTGATGGGTGAAGTTTAAAAAGTATCCCATAGATATCTGAAATCACATGGGTTAAAGTTAAAAAAACACCGATCATTCATTTGATCAATCCCACCTAGGAGGCCCAAAAACAATCTTAAACACATCCCATGTTTCGATCATGACCATATAATCATTCCGTACAAAAAGTTGTACATATATATAAATATACAGATATAAAATTATATATATATAGTAGTCCAAACGAACATCCCATTAAAAAAAATAAATGAGGTTCGGTATTGCCAAAAGTTCCATGTTTTTCTACATTAAGGCCACCCAAACCAACATATCGATCATTTGTTCACGGCTTGCTGGTCCATAGAGACATCCTGAAACAAAATCCATCAAGATCGATCCATATCAAAACCAAATCAAATAGTCCCAAGAAAAATCACGTACTTAAATGGTTCCCTAAAAATCATAGGCCACCAGAAAAAATCCACAAAACAATGGCCGCAAAGGGCAAATTTACAGCAAACCATGGTAATTCCTTTGAACCCATCCATTGAATAGCCAGCTTGTTGTCTCTAAAAGCCACATTTTGGGGGTATGTCCTCTTACATGGCTCTTACATAGACTTTATACATGGTGGGCACCTTCAATAAATCGGCTCCTGAAATGGTTCAGTATGATTAAATCCCAAATTTTCATTGAATCAACCCCACCAGAGGCTCCAAAAAGCCAGGTTTCTTCCCGAAATTCCCTTGAGAAAATCATCCCAATGATCAATGATCCAATCCCCTATGGCTCCAAACACCTTCTGAGACTGTACTTGGTGCTGATTTTTGGGATTCAAACACCTTCTGAGACGGTATTTGGAGCACTAGGGATCATGATTGTTTTTCCAGACTTCCCTTAAATCCCAATGCTCCAGCTGAGGTTTGGTGGCCTCCGCCAATGGCACCTTCGTGGGCCCCGAGGCACCGTTGGCCCTGCGGCAGCTGCAGCTGAACGTCTCGCAGCCCGTGGCGGAAGTTGCGCCGTGCGGATCACTGGATCCGTCGCTGGCAGAGGCGACGTGCCGGAGGATAGGTTTGGGAGGAAACCCAGGGGATGTTTGGAGGGATTTCATGGGATTTCAAATATTTTTTTGCCGTCTTTTAATGAAATTGCCATATTTTGGATAGGTTTTAAATATATTTCAATGAGATGTTCATGGAATTGTGAGTGGAATTGTCCCGTATATATATATATATGTATATATATATATATTTATATTTATTTGTTTAGGTATGTTCATGGGATTTGTGTGGGATATAACTATGAACTAAGGGGATGTGTTGATGTTTTTCAATGTGATCTCAATATTTTGATGTGGTAAAGCCAATGATAAGCCATCGCTAACCCCTGAGGGTAGGTTGAATATTGGGTTTCCCATATTGAATGCATTTTAATGGGATACAACTATGGTATATCATATCGGGTACAGTGGTTTGATATAGATAGATAGATGGATGGATGGATTGATTGATTGATTGGTAGATAGATAGATAGATCGATAGACAGATAAAGATATATATATATATTTAGATATATAGATATATAGATATATAGGTATCTGGAAATATAGAGATATAGAGATATGGAGATATAGAATCTAGAGGTATAGATAGATTAGGTTAGGTTAGATTAGATAAGATAGATAGATAGATAGTATGATAAGAGAAGAGGTAAGATAAGATAGATAGATAGATGGATAGATAGATAGATAAGATAAATTAGATATATTAATAGATATATGATATATTCATAAAAAGATGGATAGATAGATAAATAGATAAATCAATAGATAGATAGATAGATAGATAGATTGATAGATAGATAGATAGATAGAGAGAGAGAGAGACAGAAATGGATACATTAGATTAGATTCGATTAGAGTAGATTAGATAGATAAATAGACAGATAGATAGATAGATAGACAGATAGATGGATAGATAGATAGATACATAGATAGGTGGATGGATAGAGAGATAGATAGAGAGATAGATAGATAGATAGATAAATAGATAGATATATCATTTATGATCATTAAATGTCAAGAATCAGAGGAATGTTTGAGTCTCTTTTGAAAATAGGAGGTTGTGGGTATCATTGGTATATATCAGGGTGATATACGGGATATTACTTGGAATTCAATGGGGTATAACTATGAAACAATGGGATTTTGGAGGCTCTGTTTTTCCATGTGAGTCCAATGCGTCCTAAATTGTACTGCAAACAGAGCTTCATGCGCTGGGGTCCATAGGGATAGGGGTTGCTTGCTTGATTGGGAATATATAACATATAAAACTAATTCGATATATCAGGGGATTTATGACCAACAATGATGGGATTTGACAGGCATTTTAATGAGATATATTATAAGTATGAACCAATGGGATTGATTTTGAGGGACATCGTGGAGATATCCTGCGGGTATAGAAGAGGATCTTTTGTGGCAAGCAATATCAATATTAATATAATATATATATACATGGACGTGCCCAGGCTGCCCAGACATAGGGGATACCCCAAAGTGGTTGTTTTTGATGCAAGGGGGGCCATTTAAAATCGCGTGACCGAATTTGGGTGTTGCAAAATGACCCTTCTTTGGTGTTGCAAATGACCGGTGTCCATTTTTGAATGGAGAACATGATGTTTCAGCATGGTCACCGCGAAGACTATAGTCAGATACGATGACCTCCGAACATCATGTAACCAACAGAACTAGGGAAAGGTTTGGTGATTGATAGAATCCAGCATTATGATGGATGAACGCGATCGAAACCATTAAACATAAAATATTTTGGATTGGATTTTGCGTTGATAATCAGTTGGTCAGGTCTTGTTGACAAATCATGCGATGGTTTAATTATCGCAAAATTTTGACTACGATCGACCAAAAATTCAGCAGGTGTGCAAATTTAACCCTTCTCAGGTGGCTACAACATTGCTGAAGGTGATTTTGAGTGGTTGCTTGGATGATGTTGGCAGAATCTGAGGAATCTATATAGGGGGGTTAGGTGTGCAGATTTTGAGATGGGTTCTGAAATTGTTTCTTTAGGCGGTGAGAAAATACGCCATCAAGTGGTTCCAGATGTTCCAGAGTTGTGCAAGGAAGGCAGAAGGATTATTTTGTTGTCCAATGCAAAACCGGGTTTGGGAAAGACAAGAAGCACAGGTTTCACCTTGGTACTGCAGCCAGGCCATTTGGTGCTAGGCAGGAGTGCAGTGGCAGGAGCAGTTTATTCTAAAACTTGAAAAGGAAAGTGAGGTGGCAACCCCCCTTGCAGATTGGATAGACTAGCATAGACCCTGAAAATCGTCCCTGGTTGCAGAAAGTAGTCACTAAGTAGTCCAAGTCCCCATGGAAGAGTCGTCATGTTGGGATGGTAATTACATGGTAAACCCCTATGAAATTCCACCAGCTCATCCGTCGTCCCAGGCTATGTCCCTTCTTTCGAGAAGATCCTCCAGTCCTCCGTCAGCAGGATGCACCACGCCATGAACGACGTGGTCACGCAGGTCCTGCAGACGACTCCGCCCTGTGGAAAGACCGAAGTCTATTTCGGGCCTGAAGGCACCACGCCAGTGGAGGGCTGGATTAGAAAGGTTTGGGAATTCAAGTCATCATCATCATCATATATATAATATATGTGTTTTTTCTATTTATCATGTTTGGAATGGAACGAAAAATGGGCATGGTTTCTGGGAAAAGTATTCCATGCGGGAGAAATGATCAGGCTTTTAATGCAGGGGAGGAAATCAGTTTTTTGTGATTCAGACCTGAGAGCTATTCAACATGAATCCAGAGATGGGTACTTCATACACAACATACACAATTGAACTATTAGAAATACCTCGGTTCATGGAGTTGATGGGTTAGCATAGGGAATTGTACTATTGGCTTATTGGGGATGATTATAACTAGTTTTACCCTCTGGTAAACATACAAAAAACTACGGAAAACCACCATGATCAATGGGAAAATCCACTATTTCAATGGCCATTTTCAATAGCTATGTCAGCTATTACCAGAGGGTAACTCATAGGGGAACTTACTTAACTTATCAACCAGGTAGATCCAGCGGGCCGCTCGGTGAGGTCGAGTGAACCTTTCACTCTTGCTGTTGTCCTCCTTATTGGCCCTCTCAGGACTGATGAAAAAGGGAAAGTCGCAAAAAAAACAACTCATGGCCAGGGTCGTCATGTTGGAGGTATGTTATTTTCTGGTTCTTTCCTGAACATGTGAAGGTTCCAAACAAACATATAAACATATTTCATCATATTTCTGTGGATGATGATTCCCAGAAATGACCCATCAGGGGTCAAGTTCGCTCAGGATTTTGCGCCTTGTTTTCCCCTCAGATTTCCCATGAAGACGGCAGTGAAGACGGCGACTCCTTGGCTTTGGCGGAACTGCCCTTGGCGACACACCCCGCGGTGCCTGTGGGACTGGCCAGATCGCAGCTTGGGTGTTAATGTTTCAGGTCTCGATGATTTTTTTTTGGGATGTTTTTATGCTAATGTTTCAGGTTTTGATATGTTTTAATATGATTTTTGATTTTTGGATGTGTTTGGTTCATTTTTCAGGTTCCAATCTGATTTTCGGATGAGTTTTGGATATTGTGGGCATTTGATCAGTATTGGGATATTGAAATCTATTGAATCCCTAAGAACACCCTGCCTCCAGGTACCCATTTTTTGTGGTCGCCACAATGGTCCTCTTCTTTTTTTCAGACCTGGGCCTGGGAACCGTGGTGAACATCGTCTTCCGGGCTGGAGATCCGGATTTGCTGAGTGATTTCTTGTTTTTTGATGTTTTTGGTCATTTCCCAACTGGGATTATTGGGGATTAACTAATAAGATATTATAAGCCAATAATGGGGGGTATAGTTAAATCCCATGAAAGCACCATTAAATCCCATTAAATCACCATTCATCAGAGTAATCCTGATGCTGATGCCTATGACTCAAGTGGTTTTTCATTTCGATGACTTAGAATGACCTCACGTCGTATACGTCGTGACGTGACCAGGAATGGCCCGGTTTTTCAGTTATTTTCAGGTTCGCAAATGTAATTCAGCCAGAATTTAGAAGGCTGTTTTTTGAGGTTTAGAACTGGCATTAAAATTGTTTTCATCCATTGATTGTCTACCATGGTTTTAATTTGTTCAACCAGTTGGTTGGATAGTCCGCTGCATCCATGGAAAGTGGTATCATAATATCGAGAAGGGAAGGTGCAATGTGGGGCTCTCCAGTTAAAAGTTGGTTTCCAAACCCCACTGACAAAACGTAATTTTAAGTATACCCGTCTGCTCCATGGTGCTGGAACATTTACCAACATTTGGGCCATTTTTAGGGTAAATGTTGGTACATATTCCATACATGGAGCATATGGGATATATAAGTATCATACATCATGGAGTTATAAACCAACTTAGCTATTTTTTTTCGGGGACCCCACATTGTAGACCTGTTTCTTTTTCGGGAAAAGCGACGTTGAATATGATCCGTCCAGGGTTGCAGGGTCCCTGTAGGAGATGAGGTCGTCACCATTGGTCCAGCTTTTTCCTTTTCAGTGATGACTCTGTCGAGGGATAGCATCAAAGGAGGTGCCCTGGAGGGGTGATTTTGTGACACTGGAAGCAACCCAAAAAGAAATCCTGAGGTACATTTTAAGAATGAACATGGAATAATGCATAATAATACTGTGTGTTTTTGTTGGTGTTGTTTTTGTTGAAATAGGTCATATTGCAATGTTGGTTCGCCGCAAAGCGTATCCTGAACACAAATCAAAATCCCTACCCTCTTAAAAATGGAATTTGAGGGGGGGGGAGTCGTACTGAAATTTCATTTCAAAATTCCATTTTTGCAATCATGCTTTCTCAATGATCAATATTCCTCATCATTCCATGTCATTGGCAAGCAGATGAAAATTAAATACTAGCGCTTAGCTCCGGAGGAGCCAAGCACATATCAGACTGAAGCAGCACATGTGTAGGGATGGCATCCCTCCAAAAATTGCGCTGCCGTCATCATACTTGCGCTTAGCTCCTAAGCGCAAGTATTTTCTAACCAGTGCCCAAGGCTTGTTAAGAAATGTTGCTTTACAATTCCATTTGGGGGGGTGGATCACTATCCCAGGGTTTCCAAGCAAAAAAAAGTGGAATTCGACAGGTTGGTTTTGTCCCCCCACCCCGCCCTCCCCCTCTAGAGGGGTAGGGATGAATCAAATAGAAAAGGTATATTGCTTTAGTTCAGGGACTCGCTTCTTCCTTCTGCTGGTTTGAGTTAAGATTTTTGGTAGATAATTTATGATGAGGCAAGGTAGATACTACGGAAAAAATAGAAGATAGTAAACGGGAGCATCATGGCTAGTTTTTGCCTTCTTGACGCTGGTAAGACTGAATAATTTGGAGATGAATCACAATTTGAAACTTTTCAAATACCACATTTGCGGGGAGGCTATTTTGGTGGTACCCTGCAACTGATTTCAGAAGAGAGTGTGCCAGGACCTCATTTAATTATTGTTAATTATAAAGCCCTCGAACAGTTTATTACTTGGTATCGTGAGAGTGTTCTTTTGGTCGCAATAGAGGATCCACATGCCTTGATTACTAGAGATCACCATCATGACTCTCGCACGAATTCCCAAGTTCAAGGAGAAATGATATGCACTTCACAAGCCATGACGTAACATCAGCATGTGTTGCTTGAGCTTTCGAGGTGCATGGCTCATCGCCGTATTGGTTATAGGTCTCAGTGGACTTTGGCCATTTGTCAAGCTTGGAATGCTGCTTTATGTCTGGCTCACGCCTCCTGCATCGCTGAAGAAGAGCAAAAGAGGCCGAATCTTGCTGTTTCTGGATGAGTATGGGAAGTACAGTTTCTCGACTTGAGCATGTTGGAAAGGAATGGGTTTGAAAGGTGACCAGTGGTGATTACTACTCCTTTCCAAGACACCTGCTTCCCAGCACTTCCAATTGTGTTTTTATGCCTTTCTGGGGCAATGGGTTTTCTCGAGATTTTCTCAACAATTACACCTAAATCGATAGAACACTGTTATTTTTGTACCGCATGAATTTTAGTGGGAAGTTCCTTTTCGGTATCTTTTGGGGGTAACTATATATATAACCATTATATAACAATAATAATGGTGCATATTATATATACATATATATATATGTAGTTATATATATATATATATGTTTTACAATTATTAACCACTATTAACCGAAATTTGACTATATATGTTATATTCCCATGTTTTTCTGGTACCGAGTTAGCATAACTATCCAGGTTTGGTGGACTCTTGGCTGGCCATACTGGCGTTGTGTGCCTTCAACCTTAACTGGAGCGACAATGAGATTGGCGACTCGGTGCAGTGTTTGGTTGAATTTATATACCCTCTGGTAATTTAACATAGCTATTGAAAATGACCATTTATAGTGGATTTCCCCATTAAAAATGGTGATTTTCCATAGCTATGTTAAATTACCAGAGGGTAAACCTACTGTGGATGGTTGCGAAATCCGAATCACCAGTTGGTAGGTGGTAAGTTTATCCCATGATTTTTGTTGGGTTTCAACCATCCAAGGTGGTGCAGGAATGAGCAGTGGCTGCTACTCCCTGGTTGGTTGATGATTAGTTTGGGGATTATACTAGCCAATATATTGGGGATTACAATACCAAAAGGGAATCCCTATAAACCAACCAGTATACTGGAATGATAGAGGGACTTTGAACACTGCTCATATGAAACTTTGGGGCACGACAAAAAAGTGGGTTGATGTCCATCATCATAAATTTGATCGTTGCAGAACAATGAGTCACTTTCATGATTGATCAGATTGTGGGAGTTGATCATGTTTCATGAAATTTTAACGTTTTGAAGATGGCATAAAATAGCCATAAGTTGGGGATGACCCTATTTATCCTCATTTTCAGAGACATCCAAACTACACTTGTTTGAAGAATATCCTCCCCCCGTGCAGCTGGGATGATTGTCGTTTACGCATGTCTACAATAGTCTACAAGTCTTGTGCGTGCATCATCGTGACACCACCAATGTATCATGGTACATCTTTGGGCATCTTGGGTGACACAACCAATAAACTCCCAATGAATTGGAGGGAACTTCGCAGGATATCCCATCTTTACCATCCCGTTCTTGTAAAGAATTGTTTAGAACTCAACTACTGATTCTCCAGCACCCTTCAGATTCCCCAATTTGGATTCAGCTTGAAAGAAGTTGGGTTCTGTGCCACAAATGGCCATCCAAAAATGGTGGAGTTCACACCTCCATCCGAAGAGAACTGGGATTATTCACCAGAACGAGGCTCATTCCAGATGATTGCATCACCAAAAAACATATATATCATATCAGACTTTTCTACCAACTACATGGAAATAATCTATAGTTATAACTGCTTGGAAAGGAGTATAGCAATCCAAGTATTGCAAATACTTTCAGCCACCCAATCATCACATTGGGACGTATGGTCATTACTTAAGCACCAAAGAAAAGCAAGGTCAGCTTCGCCCCAATCCATTCAGTAAGGTGAGGTTTCCATGGTTGGCAGCCCTTGCTGAATGGATGTCATTTGTTTGTTCAGTATCCTCCGGGAATTTGACGCGGAAAATGAATGAAGATGAAGTTGGGGCCTATTGATTTAGGATAAATTACATTGATTTACATGGCTTACTTCTGACCTATGGCCATGTTCCATGGAAAAATGCTGGATTACCGGAGCATAAAAGCAACCATGAGGAGTGAAGATTTCAGAACATTTACGTACATCCACCTTGTTCATGGAAAACGATGAATTCACCAAGCCAACCAAAAAAATGCAGTGATCGCATTCGCACCCAACCAATCAGCTGATTTCACCCAGAATTTTGACCACATTTTTTTTTGTTCCCAACCCGAAATCAACATCGATCACCCAGAAATTTCCATGTTCCATTTAACCTGATGTGGGTTCCCATAAGTCTAATTTCCCTAGTATTAAACACCCACTAGATGGTTCCAAATATCTGTAAATTCCCAAACCATGGTTTCTTTGGGGTCTTTTATTTTAGGAAGGGATTAAATCCATTAACTATAATTCTAAGATATTTTAACGTCAACTTATAGGGATCTTAGGCGGAACTTGACCCCCCTCAGTCAGTTCTAAGTTGATTTATAAACCCCCCAGAACTCCACCAGGGGTGAATGCCCCCCAAGATTAGTTCTAAGTTGGTTGAAAGAAGCCCAGAAATCCACCAGATCCCAGGAGTGAACGTGGCTCCCGTTCCCATGCTCCCTTTCTTCACCTTCGTGGTGGCCAGCGTCGTGTCCTTAGTCCTGGGCCACGTGGCCACGGTCTTCCACCGCCGGACGCAGCGCTGCGAGCGCGAAGCCGCGGTGCAGCGAACGGTGAGCCAGGAGATCAGGGAGGCGCGGAATGGGATGGGATGGGATGTAGGGAAACCATTGAAGTCAGGGAAAATCATTGAAAGTCCATGAAAATCTGAAAGGATGTATGGAAACATGTGGACATATGTTTATATGAATCTGGTTTCAGATATGTGTCATCTTGAACTCTGGCGATAAATTGAAGTATCATCCATTTTAGAAGACATGTCAATGAGGATTTTGATAGGTACACAGTGAGGGGGGCATCATCCAGTGTGGAGGGACCAAACAGCCAAGTTTAGCCACAAAAATCACGTACTTAATGGGTGTATCGGGGGGCAAATGGATGACATTCCATGATATTGGATGTATAATGGGTATTGAGTTTGATTTGATCTGGAGTAGATAGGGATATACCCACATATGGGACGTGTGCAACCTTAATTGGAATTTCTTTAATGTGGCACACGCATCATGAGGTGTGTTTAATCATCCCGAAGAAGTTCGACTGGCATATTTTGTGTACCCACATTAGCCAATAGAAATGGAGGTGTGTTGATTGAATCAACAGACTCACGTAGAATCAACCAACAAAAATTCACCTAGATGTTTGTCCTTTACTTTTTGGTTCCTAAGCTACTCCATAAATATGTTTTTGTCTGAAAATATTGTACCGCCAATTCCACTGCTTTATCATCATCTTCCCACAGTTTTTCCAATAGAATTGAGGTCTCCCCCCTCCTTCAGACTTCCCATAGATTACTTTGAGGGATCATAATCATCCCATGTTTTGCCATTTTACCATCATATGATCTTATTATATATATACATATATATATATATATACATGTACATATATATATTATATATACATACCACATATAAATATATATATATATACAATGTATACTACAAGAATTTATACTATAAGAATTGCATTGAGGGATCGTCCATTTTTAGCCATGTCAAAGGCCAAGGAGAAACCCGGAAGCTTGTTCAACAAGTTGCAGCGCCAGCAAGCCTGGCAGCTTCTGGCCTTCGCCGTGTTCAATGGAGCATCCGTCGCTGGGAATTGATCGAACAAATAGCCAGGGGGACTAATCCCTTCCCCCATATTAAACATCCCCTAGAAATCTGGGTTTTTTGGTTGAGAAATTCCTCATTTTGTTGGGACCATGCATTTATAGGGTGTTTGATAGGATCATGATGGGATAGTTAAAATACTATACCCATCATGAGTTATTAGCATTATCCGGGAGTTGTACTACCTGGGTTAGTTATAAGCTAACCGACTAGTATTAATTGAAATGGAAAAAATGGTAAAGATTTCATGGCTCACTTGGGTTAGGCGTGGTCCTTCAAAATTCTTAAGCGCTGTTTGAGATGGTTGGTGGTAATTTCCCCAATGATCCAAAACGCTTCATGGTTTTCGTGGAGGCTTTTAAATTGCCAACCGCACCATGTAGCGTGATCCGTTTTCAAAACCTATCAGCACATGGATTTGTGTGAAAATAGGATGCGTGATATATATATATATATAGATGGATATACCATAAAGAATCCTCAAAATCCCATGGGTTATATAATCCCATATCAAATCCCATCCAAACTCGCATAAATCCGCATCAAATCCCATTCAAGTCCATTAAAACAAAACATTCTAGATCAAAACATTCTAGATCAAACCAGACCATATATTCATCTTTCCCATCCTTCAAAATCCCTTGAAAAAGTCACCATCCTCGGACTCCATCTTCGGCGCCATGGCAGCGCTGAGGTGTTGATCGCCGCGTTCCTCACCTCGATCCGTTACGAGGTCTCGGGCCTCGTGGCGGATCTCTTGCTGACGGAGGAAGAAACGCATCTGGCGTACGGCTTGGTGAGCTTAGGCGCCTTGGGTGTAAAAACTGATAGAACCTACCCTCTGGTAAATAAACTTGTTGACCCTGAAAATAGCCAATTTTCAATGGAAACTAGTCTTCCAACCTCTATCAGGGTCTATGTTAATTTACCAGAGGGTATTTATGAATTAGTAATACAATGGTAGTATAATGTAATATAATGTAATATAATGTATTCCGTAATATAATATAATGTACTGTATTACCATCATGTTGAATTAGTTATTTTTGTGGTAATAGAATGTAGTGAAACCATGATTGGTAATATATATATATATGGTAATATAACATAATTTAATGTAACCATTAACGGATATGTTCCATGATTGGTAATGCATATGGATATGAATCAATGGGTATTACTATAGTAACGACCAATAGTTGATTCCGTCGGGTATTATAACGGTAATCATTATAATTGGTCAACTGTAATGATCAACTATAATAATGGATATTAATCACTCTTTATAATGGGTATTGATCACTATAATTCTGAATATTTATCAACTATAGCTGTATGATCAATTGGATGAAATGGATATAGCTGATATAATAGTTGATCATATGGGTATTACCACTACACTGGGATATAATGGGTAATCATGGGTATTAATCAACTATAGCCATATGATCAAAGGATACAACTGATATAATGCGATTAATCACTATAAGATTGGGTGAGATAATGATTAAATCACTGCTATTTATGGGTGATTATCACTATATATGGTGGGATAATCATGATATCAATGATATTGATTAATAGCAGTTAGTAAGGAGTATAATTCATAGTGATAATTATTTTGGAATGGAAAACCCCAATGGTGAATTCACTGCCGGTGTTGTAAAGCCCTGCCATAAACAAGGTAACGCCGCCCGTAAAGACGCGGACTGTTTTGCAATCAGGCATTTCTGATGTGCTTCAGGACATGTGGCACTTCTGGATGCCATTTCATGAATGTTCTTACTTCATCCTTTTATGTGCTTGGGTGTGCATCATGACACACAGACAGATATATATATATTATGTGTGTGTGTGTTTGTGAGTTAGAACTATTTCATGTCTTTGTGCAGCCCTATGCATGTCTAAAAAAATGACATTAATTACCGCCGCCCTAGACGCCCACCACCCCTCACCCCAACCCCAGCGTATGTCACGTAACGCTTCCAAGGAACGTTAACATCACCCCACCCCCCCACCCCAACCCCAGCGTATGTCACGTAACGCTTCCAAGGAACGTTAACATCACCCCACCCCCCCCCACCCCAACCCCAGCGTATGTCACGTAACGCTTCCAAGGAACGTTAACATCACCCCACCCCCCCACCCCAACCCCAGCGTATGTCACGTAACGCTTCCAAGGAACGTTAACATCACCCCACCCCCCCACCCCAACCCCAGCGTATGTCACGTAACGCTTCCAAGGAACGTTAACATCACCCCACCCCCCCCCACCCAGACAACCCACAAAAAGTATCAAAAAGTATGAACGCAGTAAAAAACGTTAAAAAAACCCGCGTCTCTACGGGCGGCGTTAGCATAAACAACGTCCCATGACTGGGATGGTTGGAAGCCAAAATGGTGATGTGATGGTGTGTGGCAGCCAGGGAAAAACATCCCACAGGAGATTTAATAGGAGATAAATATAGATACCCGCCCTGGTAAACATACAAAAAACTATGGACAATCACCATTTTAAATGGGTAAATCAAGTATTTCTAGAGCCATTTTCAATAGCTATCTTAGTCATTACCAGAGGGTAAACGGTCTTTTCTCGCTGCAAAAATTGTATTTGGATGGACCTTTCATCTATTTTTGGGGGTTGCTACATATTCAACAGGGGAAATAGTGGAGAAATCCGGAGAAAGTGGTGAAGACATATTTGAATGGAAACATGCGGGTAAACACTTCGGATTTGGGAAATGAAGCAATAACGCGGTATAATGGAGTCCAACAGTGTTTTGTTTTTTTCTGTGAAGGGTTATAAGCTGTCTTGCGGTCGACAGCCAGGTCTATTTCTGACGGAAGGTTTTGAGGCTTCTAGCGGCCTCCATACCGTGCAAGCGATCTTCTTCGTCTTTACCTTGGCTATCCCGCTGGCTCTGGTGGTTTGTTTGCTCACCTTGCTCCTGGCTCCACTGAAAAGGCGCGATCACCTGAGACTGCTTAAGGTGTGCCATGTCTTGGATGCTTGGGCTGCGTTTGATGTCTTCGTTCTGGCCGTGGTGGTGGCGAATTTTGAGTTTTGGCTGCTGACGCAATTCTTGATCTATCACGACAACGTTGCAAGTGCTTGCAACTGGGTCCATGAGAACTTGAATGCTGAGTGCTTGGCGATGGAATGTCATGTTCAAGCTGGCTTTATTTTAATGGCCCTGGGAGGAGTGTCATCATATCTCACTCCCAAACTCTATTTCCGCTACTGTCAGGGAATCTTGGAGGAAGACTCAATGACCTCCGAATCAGAGGAGGAGTTGCTCCGAAAGTGAGCATCAGCTACAGTACAGGTGAAGTCGCTGGAAAAGGTCACATGGCCCAAGTTGTGCAACTGGTCAGGGTGCAAAAGGATCATCTAAATGTTCTATATTCTATATATATAATATATTTCATGGTTTTTCATGGACTGATCCCGAAGTCGCCAGAAAAAAATATGAAAATGGAGTGTTTGGTTATAGTAACTGGGCAAGCCAACAACAAAAAACATTTGGGGATAGTTTCTGCCACCCATCAAAACAGTGCTTTTGGGAATGGTGACATTGGGTGAATCCCACATTGGGTACCTCTAGCTGTGTCTCCCCATATGCCGAGCCCTTGCAGCCGTCACAGCAGGACAAATTGAACCAGTCCCATATGATCTTCAGCTACTATGATTTGCCTCAAGTTGTTGTCACATTGAACTTCATGTTGAACCAGTGAGTCCTCATATTTTTTTGACAACAAGTTGACGAGCAGATGGCTCTAGGGTCGCAGACCAGTGAGACAATGTAAAGAGGTGCAGATGTCCCACAACTCTTGAGTCAAACATCAGATGCGCAGAAAAGTATCCAAACTCTTTTAAGTCCCACTGTAGTCACTTATCATCTTCAAGGATCTTCAGGCACTTCTCAAGATAATCAAAAGCTGCTGCGTGCTGGATTTGCAGCGAAGACTTAAGGCTGGTGGTGCAGGGTGGGAGGATCCAGGCATAGCAAGAGTCATGTTATTGGCCAACCGGAACATCATGGAGTCATGGAGCAATAGCCTATTTGGGATTACGTTCCCTGTATACCCCATAGGATCCATGTATGGCATTGGGGACATATTGATGGTAAATGTTACCATATATAGCATACATGGATCCTATGGGTGCATATAGATCACAAATTGTGCCTTTGGAATTCCTTTCCTCGTGGAAACATGGGTCTGTTTCGTCCATCGTAAACCCTGCGGTGTCATCGAACTTGGCCGCTGGGAAATGCCGCTGTGTCATCAATCGAACTATAAAAATGGTGAAATTTCCCAGCTATAAACTGTACCCTCTGGTTATTTAGCAAAGCCATGGAAAATCCCAACCATAAATGGAGGTTTATAGCTGAGAAAATCATCTCTAAATGGGTCATTTTCCATGGCTATGTTAAATAACCAGGGGGTAACTATCCTGGCTATTTCGGGAATTTCCCTGCTATGTTTGACGACTGGACCCACTGGATGGAGAATCATCCCACTGAGTAATTGGTTAAGCCTGGTATATCCTGGTAGGGGTTCTCCCGTGTACATATTATGGCACATCATGATCACGTTAATAAGCCTGGTATATCATGGTAATTGGGATAATATTATTTTTTTGGTGGCTTTTCTCACCCCAGGGCCCCACACTCTAAAGAGGTCCGGTCGTGCATGGAAGCTGCAAACGAAGCGGGCGAAGAGTCGGGCCCGTGGGGGAGGCTCAGTGAAATGGGGAAGGTATGGGGAGTGCTACAGCAATCAAGAAACACATGGGGATTAAAATACGTATACTGGTTGGTGGTGACTGGAACCATGGGATTTTTTCTGACTTCCCAATCATCTTGAGAATAATACCAGTTAAAATTCCCTTAAACAATAGGGATCCAGTTCACAACAGCTTGAAGATTTGGACACATAGTCAGATTCAACATGCTTCAGCAACCCATGGGGGAGTTGATCCGGAGGCGAGTGTTTTGAGCAACAAGATGGGATAATTCACCCACATTTGGGATAGTGCCAGCTGGAACGTAAGACTGTTGGTAGCTTCAATAATGACATATATATATATAATTACTCATATGTTCCATTTCTACTAGATTCTACTAGGAATCTTGATTAAGTGAACATGGCTGCGATGGATGGAAACCACCACCCAGATTGAGTTGAGTTTCCATGGAACGAAGTCCTTTTCATTTTTTTTTAAGCTGAGGTATGTCAGTGTGGTAGATGATGCTGCCCTACAAGCAGATTTGAGTGGCGCACTATCCACATTGTTGGAGGCATGATGCATCATGATCCGGACAATCTATAGCGACCTCAGACTGCCCCAGCGCAGATGATGGTTAATCTTCATTGATTGGAAACTGTCAAGACATAGGGATTGTCTGAAAAGAATTGAAAAGATTCAGGACCTGAAGAGCAAAGACTTCCACAAAGGCGAACTACTGTGGATGGTTGCGAAATCCTGCACTACCTTGGATGGTTGAAACCTTAATGGGATAAACATGGATAAATTCTCAACTGGTGCAGAATTTCGCTGGCCCATCCACAGTATGATGATGATCCCGGGTTGCTTCAACGTAGTTGAAACGTGTTGATATCTGACCTCTAGATATTAGCAATAGCTTTCCGATATCTTACCAATATCTTACCAAACCAATATTCCCACTAGGATTCATATGATCCAAGATGATCCAATATGTCCAATATTTCCAATATGATCCAATATGTCTAATGATGTGGGATAATGTGGGTAAAACAATGCCATAAACCACCCCCCAAGTCACCATTTTTATAGGTGGTATGTTTACCATTCCCAGTCATGGTTGGTTTGAGTATTTATCAACTATAGCTGTATGATCAATTGGATGAAATGGATATAACTGATTAATAGTTGGTAATAACCAATGATTCCATCCCTTGCGTTTCACTGCAGGAGCTTGGCAAAAGTTCAGCGAGTGCGCAAGGCCTTCGTCGACCCGTGACGTGCGGGACCCGCAACCGGAGAGGGACTGGTGTTTTTTTAAGGTGATTGACATAGGATTTTAAGGAATTTTAGTGGGATTTAGTTGGATTTTGAAGGTATGTGGGATTTTAATGGCATTTAAGGAAATTTAATGGGATGTTTGGGCTTATAATGAGATTTAATGGGGATTATAGTTGGAATTGCATGGGATTTTATAGGGATACAATTAATGGACTTATAATCAACAGATTTAATCTATGCAGTGGTCAAAACATTGGTTGGTCATCAATACATGTTCATAGATTTTCGTCGATTTGTAAACACATCTAAAGGATTACCATAATTGGATGGATGACCATACCACATATATATTATATATATATACACATATTCATATATACGGTTGGCAGGGTGGTATAATAGACCACGTGTCCTGGTTGTTCTTGTTGGTCCATACTGAGTTCAAATACTATGATTGGGGTTCCCAGAAAACATGCAAGCAAAAACATCCCGGCGGAAGGGAAACCGCGCGAGCGTTTTTATTGTTTGCTTCCAGGAGAGTCACAATCACCTGTAATTTACAGTATAAAATGCTCTTCCGAACTCTTTGGATAACTGAATTTTGGTCAAAAAAAGTGGATGCAAAATCTATTGATTTTTGACAAATCCAGTTAAACATAATGTGCATCAGACTTGGATGCTCAGATTTTTTTTAACACTCTTCCTCGGCTCAGCGATCCATCAGTGTGGAAGCTGTCTTCGACAGCAAGTTGCCATTATGGCACTCATAACGCCACTGCCAGCAACGCAGGTATAGCATGACATCTTTGTTCTGCCCTGCCTTTGTCTGCAAATTGCTAGGCACAAATTGTTTAGCCAAATTCCACAGAGATCTCAGCAGCGTACCAACATGTCACGTAGTACGAAAGTCCCAAGGATCTCAGCAGCGTAGCAACATGTAACGTAGCACACGATCCCAGAGATCTTAGCAACATGGCAATATATAATGCACGAAGTACAAGGAACGTTAACATGCCCCCCCACCCCACCCCACCCCAACCCCAACCCACACTAGAGATCTCAGCAGCGTAGCAACATGTAACGTAGCACACGATCCCAGAGATCTTAGCAACATGGCAATATATAATGCACGAAGTACAAGGAACGTTAACATGCCCCCCACCCCACCCCACCCCAACCCCAAGACAAAGAGCAATACGCAAAAAAAGAAGCAAAACGCACGTACGGTTTTCCTGCCGTAGGCAAAAACATGTTCATAATCACCATCACAATATCAGGGATTTGTGTTGAGTAACTTGTTTTGAGTTACTCAAAACTGTGAGGTCCCCGCAGGGCACCTCCAGCCATCGATTTTGGTCATATTTGGATCGAACTCAAATGCCTCGGTGGCAACAGTTGCAGCTGATGTTAGTGACTAATACTGGTAGGTGGTGTGGAAGATGTTTTATTGTCCATATATGGGATGTCATCCTTCCCGTTGACGAATTCCATCATTTTTCAGAGGGGTAGGTATACCATGGTATACCATGGTATACCACCAACCACATAAAGTGATGAGTTGGAGCAGCCATGTTGCCGCCAGGTCAGGTAGTTGCCTGGGAGACCAGCGAGTGTACCTCCTCATGGATGGCCCCAAAGCCCTAGGCTTTCTGAAGGCGGCGGAGTCTGGGAGTTCGCCAAATATGAGGATTTTCACCAGCAAAAATGATGCGCTTCACCACCAAAGCTTGGGATTTAAGCGCCAGAAATGGTGGTGTAACTAAGAGAAATTGATAGAATTTGTATTCAGCCACCAACAAATACACTATCTTTTTTTTTGAAGTAACCACTAAACAATTGGATTTCACCAACAGGAATGTAGAATTAGTCACACAAATTATGATTCCACCACCAACATGATCTATTTCTCCAACAGAATTGGGAAGCAGAAATTGGAAGTTAATAGCCCAACATGTTGATTTAATCACCAAACAGTTTCAAACACCTTGCTATGCCCACCCACACAGGCGAGTACAACTACCATCTACCCTGTGACCCATGCACGGGCTATGCACATCACCTTTCAGCATGACACATGTTCGCTGCAACCCTGACGTTGCGCCGCGTCTGACTTCAGGTGGCTATGAAGATAAAGTTGCTGTGTTCACCCCCAACCAACATATTGTACATAGAGGGTGGTGAATGTTGACCCCTCATGAAGATAAAGTTGATGTTATTAGCACAGTCAACATATTGTTCATAGAGGGTGGCAAATGTTGATCCCTTATGAATATATAGTTGATGTTACTACCCCAATCAACATATTGTTCAGAGGGGGTGGCAAATTTTGACCCCTCA